AAGGGTAATTTCATACCAAGAGGTTCTTCAAGGTAGGGCAAAATGAAATGCAATCTCAGTCCTTGAATCAATAAACGGAATTAAGAAGCCAATTAAGTACCATGGGGTAGAAAGTACACAGATGACAAAATTCTAAAAAAATATTTTAAAAATTAAAATAAAATTTAAAAAGTTTTAATTATAAAAAAGAGTTAGGGTCCAAATATAATTTAGTCTGTGTTCACAATTTTATCAAAGCTCTTGATAATGACTGGGTTATTACTAAAAATTCAATTACCAAATATCTGTTAGGACTAGTTTCTCTGAGGATGATAAACCTTAATCAAATCCTCCTGAATTAAGTCATTTCAATCTAGGGAAATTCAGTCTGGTGTCCACTTATGTGGTTCATTCCTCTCAGTGGAAGTAAAAGACAAAAGTTACAGGGAATGATATAAATATTGGTCCTGAAATTATCTACTCTCAAATGACTTTCTCCTCTACACTAGGTGCCTTTAAGATGCTTCTATTTGTGCGAAGAACTCAAATACATAAAGATAAACCTCTTGATATCCAGATCTTAACTTCAAGCCCCACACTGGCCGGAGAGAGTACTTAAAAATAAAATCTTTACAATGAAAATAATAAAATTTATTTTTAAAGAAAGGTACAGAGGTAATAACATGAACCCACTTTTGATATATAGTTGTGTATAGCAAAGATTTAAAAATGTAAATACCAGACACATATGCAAAATGACTGGACAATTTTAAGTTTCTTCCTTAATTTTTCCTAATAATTTTTCAACAGTGAGTATGTATTCTAATAGTTTTTATTAAATAACAATTTTAAATCTTTATATTGTTTAATAATTACTTTTTAATGAATCTGGTAACAAGCCATGCTATTAGCTCTTATAAACTTTTCACACAATTTTTAATGAATTCTGGGAGTATCCTTATTGATAAAGATGAAAAAGGGAAGCCACTAATGACATCTTTCCTATTATTCAAAATAAAAAAAAATTTCAGATAAGACTTAAGGTACATGTTTTGAAAATATTTTTTATTAAGTATTTTTTATTTTCTTATTTTTTTTAAGTAAGCTCTATGCCCAACATGGGGCTTTAACTCATGACCTTGAGATCAAGAGGTGCATGCTTTACAGACTGAGGCAGCCAGGCTTCCCCTAAGACACATTTTTAATTTCTGTTCTGAGCAAATCCATGTTACTGGATGATTTTGCTCATACTCCAAGTGATGGACAATGGGATTTATTATATATCTAATGTGAATTATCACTCACAAAAAGCAATAACTATTTTATCTAACAAAAGGAAAAATGTAAGGTCACCAGGTGGCTCAGTCAGTCAAATGTCCAACTCTCATTTTCAGCTCATGTCATGATCTCAGGGTCCTGGGATCCAGCCCTGAGTGGGACTCCTCACTAACCAGGGAGTCTGCTTGTCTCCCTGTCCTTCTGCCCTCCCCCTCCCCAGGCACACATGCTTATCCTCTCTCTCTCTCAAACAAATCTATATTTTTAAGATTTTATTTAGTTACTCATGAGAGACACAGAGAAAGAGGCAGAGACGTAGGCAGAGGGAGAAGCAGGCCCTTTGCAGGGAGCCTGATGCAGGACTCAATCCCTGGACCAGAGATCACGACCTGAACCTCAGGCAGATGCTCAACTGTTGAGCCACCGAGGCATCCCAATAAATATCTTTTCAATAAAGGAAAAATAAGTTTCTCAGATCTACTCTAGAAAAAAAAACTATAAATTTATTTCATCTACCAACACATTAAAGCAACTCATTAAAATCCTTCTACTTGTAAAAATGTAAGTTCCAAGTCAATCAAAACATTGTTTAAAACTTCTGAATACTTCTTAGATTAGGTATCAATGTTTATATTAATAAATGAAAAAAAGACACACAGATCTTACATGTATCTTTAAAAAAAATCCTTAACAATTACTAAGTCCTTTTTTACAGATAAGAAATAAAATCAATCAGGTAAATATCAGCAAATGTTAGTTATAACTTTTTACCATCATTTTAGAATATTTTTACTATCACTTTTTCTAGAGGTTGAAAAAAGAAAACCATTTAAATTTTTACTAAAGATGATCTTAAAATTTTTAACATCAACTGCATTAGTAACCTGCAAAACTACTACTGACAACATTGCTATACATGGGTTTGTGTGTGTTAAAACAGGCAATACCTAGTCACTCTTAATGCTGATAATATATCTGAAGGAGGTTTTTATTAGGAACAATTTAAACACAGTTGTTTCCAGAAGGACAGCACAATCATTTTTCCTTCCTTTGCTCCATTTTCACACTAAATATAATCCAAATTTAGAATATTCTTATTTAACGTATTTATTTGGATATTCCTATGCTTAAAACCAGCCATTTAAGAGCACTGAACAAAGAACTTTACCCTTTGCCATATACAATCAACAGATTTATCTTTTTCTACTTTACTGGCAAAAATTAGATTTCCACAAAATAAAATGAGCGTTAGTTAACCCAAGCTTGTGATTAGGGCATGACGCTCTAACAAGGCTAAACTGACAATGTGATCATATATCCAATGAATTAACTTTCATCTACTGCAGGGTTAGAGGCAGCATCAAAAACCCTGCTGGTCAGTTTTCTGGTCACAAGGAGAGCCAGTTGGGTCAAATGTACAGCTGGGTCAGCACAAATCCACTATCAGCATGTTCTATTTATCAACTTTACTACAAACAAATCATGCAAGAGCTGTCATCTGGGAAGAGAAAAACACCAATAATATACCCACTGCATCATGAAACAGATGATAACCTAGGGTGTAAAATCTAAAGCGTAAAATCTATTTTAGTTGCTAAATTGAAAAAATATTTTAAATCCATTTCTATTAATATCTATACTATGAATTTTAAAATGCCACCACACTAAATTTTTATTCCTATTGCTAAAACAGATAATGGTGGCGGTAATGTTCTTTTCCTTTCCACTAGATGAAATGTACAAAATATTTAAAAAGACGACTCTTCATCCCTTTATCCTCTCAGCTTTATTAATCCATATACTTTACCTTCATGTATTAACTGTAATCTAATAAAAACTATACCTTCAAATTACAATAAAAATTATTTTCCAAAGATAGACAAATCTGTTTCTATTTTTTTTTTTTTTTTTTTTACTATGGCAATAACGGCTACCAAATCACTTTTTCACTCTCAATGTCTCTTCTGACCTATAATCCCATAATATGTTGCAGGAGGCAATAGAATTATCAGGTCAGTCCTTTTAGATTTGCCTCTCCTAGAGACTGCGAATTCCCTGAGAATAGCATAGCTTTCTCCAGTCCTTCTTCCTACCTTCAGTCCCTTACAGAGTATGAATTGACACACTACATTATTCATTTGCTCACAGATCAGCCTCTCCTATTAACTACACTATGAAATTCCGGAGACACTAGGTGTGTATCATCAACCCTTTACACAGTGCCAGGCTACAGAAGATTTTTTAATATATTCAGTTGAAAACTGAGCAACTCAACATTTGCCTCTTTCCTATCCCACTCAGAATTAGCAAAGCACCCTCCAAATATGGACCACTGTATTTTTTTTTTTTTTTTTTTGCATGCATCTTTGACCCGAGACACATTTTTTCAGTTCCTACTAGCCATACTTTCCCTCTTTGGAGGGAAAAAACTTGGATTATATCTGGTTCCTTCTCCAACACCAGTAATCCCTACAAGAGAATACAGAGTTCGGTATACATCCAATCAAGTAAAATCTAACAAATCCTTAGTTATTTATGCATCCTTACAAAATTTATGAACCTATGCATTCTAATACCTATTTAGTTAGTTTACACTTAGTGAAGAATGTTTCACAATATAGCTGTATTAAGAAGGATGCGGAGAGACGGAGGTGGGGGGGGATAGTGAAAAAAAAAACAAACAATTTAACATACTTCTTCCATTTCCACCTTCATCCCAAGAGAATCTAAATGGGAAGAGGAAAAAAATGGAGGTAGAACCTGGGATTCAGAAAAATCAACCATAGAGAAAAACAAAAGATGCTGTATTTGCAAACTGTGTGCTTTAACCTCTCCTCCCAAATCATTTTTAAAGGATTTTTTTTTTTTTTTTTTTTTTAGGCCGAAGACTCTTTTGCTTCATCCAGGCGCAGCTGGATCTCATCTCCCCCAAGACACCCCACCTCCACACACAGACACAGCGTTACCCCTACGATTCCCCCGCGCCAAACCAACCATCTCAGGGAAAAATTAAACCATGAGGATCCTCTCCTAATCCTGGCTGAAAAATACAGTTTTTCCCCCCACAGGAAAATTAGGTCTGCTAAAGGGGAATTGGGGGGTGGAGGGTGGGGAGAGGAGATGCTTATTACCGTGCAGTTTCTCATTCTCCATAGGGAGGAAAATGGCAGTAACTTCCAACAAGAGGCAACTGCTCTCCTACTGTATTCCCCGATTAGAAACTATAAAATAAACAAAATCACCAGCCCCTCGAGGCCTTTATAGGACTATAAAACTGAGGCACTTTACTCTGCAGCAACAGAGCCCCTTAAAAATCCTCCAGAGCCTGAGGGAAGGGGGAGGGGCATCCATCAATCCCCCCCCCACACACACACACACCCCTGCCCTAGCGGGGAACAGAATTCTGTCACATCCAAGAAACCACACCGTCCGCCTCCTCCGCCCTCGCAAGCCCCGCCGGGCGCCGCGTGCGGGGGCGGCCGAGGGGGAGAAGCAGCGGAGAGGCGGGGACACCACACACGCACGCCCCGCACCGAGGGCTGATTCAGGGCGTTTTAAGGTGTCTCAAAGCCACAATCTCCCGCAGCCGGAGGCTTCTGGCCAAGTCCCGGGCCCCAGCTCCCGCCCTGCTCCCCGGCCCCGCCGCGGCCTCGGCGCCCCCTCAGGCGCGCGGCCCCGGGCCCCGGGGATCCCCCCGCCCCCCCTCACCCCGCCGCGCGCCCGGCCCGGGACCGGCTCCGCACCTGGATGTAGTTGTTCTCGCAGTAATCCGCCACCCGTTCCAGATTCGTGTAACTGTCGAAGAGGGCCCGGCGGCCCCCCGGGATTTCCTCCTCCAGCAGCATCTGCAGCTCCGCCATCTTCACATCCTCCTCCTCATACAGACCGCAGAGGTAGCGGCGGCGGCAGCGCCTGGGAAACCCAAGACGGGGAGAGGAGGGGGAGGAGGAGCAGGAGAAGGAGGAGGAGGAGGAGCGGCGGCGGCGGCGGCGGCAACTCGGGAGGAGCGAGAAACACCCCCCCTCCCCGGCGCGCCACAGGGGAGGGGGCCGCGGGGCGGGGGCGGGGCGCGAGCCGACGGCCTCGGAGGACGGTCACCGCGGCGACCGACGGACTGCCGGGCGCGCGCACGCGCGCTCCCCTCCCTCCGCCCCCGGGCGCCCGAAAAAGATTCCCACCCTCGGCCGCGCGGCCCGCGCCGCCCCTCCCCCACCGTCTCCTAGCGACGGCGGCCGTGGGGGCCGGGAGCGCCGTTAACCCTTCGGCCCCCGCCAGTTGCGTGACTCGGGACGTGTCCGCCGCGGCCTCCTCGGTGCGGGGCAGCGCCTCTGCGGCCTTCCCGCCCGCGCCGCCCGCGCCTCCGCTGGCGCCGTGCCCCACCTGAGGCCGAGCCCTGGGGTCACGGGACCTGAGAAGAGGAGCCCACAGAACTTCGGCGCGGCTTTAAGTGCCCCCTCGCTTTCCATTTTCCTCTTCTTTGACTCCGTCCAGCCTCTTTGGTACAGATAAGCACGTTCCAGTTTCCTCATCCCAAAGGTCGCGCGCCCAGGATTTTCTTGCCCTCCGAGCGCCGCCAGGCTCCCCGCGCGCCGGGCCTCGGCCTCGAGGGCTCGCCCTCTCCCCCGTTCGCCGCCTCAGGGCTGCCTTTTCTGTCATTTCTCTCCTTCTGTCAACTTCCACGCCACCACCACCACCACCCCCCCCCGTTTTTTCCTTCGTAGGTCCAGTATTTAAAAGTCTAGAAAAATGTATTTTGCTGGTGCAAAAATCTCCTTCCTCACAGGGCTGGGACATGGATGAAGTAAAAGTTGAGGTGAGAGCGCCTTGAAAAACGTAGAAATACTATAGAAATTCAAGGTAGATCATTTTGATCTTGCGGGGCTCTTCTCGTTCGCCAGATACTGTTTCCCTAAATCCTGACTGCTCCACACAATGCGATCTTTAAAAAATTGAAATTTCAGGCCACTCCTGAGCTCTCTCCGTGACCTTAATTTGTGCCGTGGGAAGTCAGGGTTGGCTACATTGGTAGTTCAGAACAGGATCCATTATTTCTTTCTTTCTTTTTTTTCTTTTAAGATTTTATTTATTCATTCATGAGAGGCAGAGGGAGAAGCAGGCTTCATGCAGGGAGCCCGACGCGGGACTCGAACCCGGGACCCCAGATCACGCCCTGGGCCGAAGACAGATGCTCAATCACTGAGCCACCCAAGTGTCCCAGGATCCATTATTTCAATAATTGTTCTTGCTTTTGTGATGTCTTGGCCCTCCTACAGTGATTCCCACCCCACCCGCCCCCAGATAATAAGGAAACTGTATTATATACTTTTTCAAAAAATTTGCAATGCCATTACAAATTTCTGGAGCAGTCTCTGGTGTTGTTCTATTCGCTATATGATGATCTACACATTAACAAATTATTTTAAATTTTCAGTGTGGAACCCAGATTAAAGGATATTGAAAGTGTTGGTCCAATCCATCTGGTTTTTTTTGTTTGTTTGTTTTCTTTTTCTTAGTCACTTCAAACATCTGAATTAGTGGTTCTCTCTCTTTTTTTTTTTTAAGATTTATTTATTTATGATAGAGAGAGGCAGAGACACAGGAGGAGGGAGAAGCAGGCCCCCGTGCCGGGAGCCCAAGGTGGGACTCGATCCCGGGACTCCAGGATCGCACCCCGGGCCAAAGGCAGGCACCAAACCACCGAGCCACCCAGGGATCCCCTGAATTAGTGGTTCTCAAACTTAAGTGTAAGGAGTGTGTTAAAAATGAAAGCTGTAGGGTCCACACTAGAGATTGATTAGAAGGCAGTGGTGACAGAATGGGGTAGTTACTTAAATAATATATAAACTTGCTTCAAGGAATAAGATACATATGAATAATCAAGTGAGCAAAACAAATTAGATAAAACTTTTCTTTCAGACTAAAGTGAGTTAAAAGGCTACTGTTGAACTATAACAAGCCCACCAGGTGAGTTAAGTGGTAAGCAGACTGTATTACACTTATTTCCACCTGGCATTTTCAAATACTGTTTAGCAATTAGCCCAATAAACAGGTCTCCCTGAAAGATGATGGTCATCCTAGGAATCCCTGCCTGATGATTCTGCTGTTTTCTTAAGCTAGCTTGTGACAGCCTCTTTGGATCTTAGCTTCTTTATCTGAAAAAAAAAATCAAAGGGTTTAAATCAGGTCGGTTCTCAAAGTTCAGTCTGTAGTGGAATCACCTGGAGGGCTTGTTAAACTACAGGATTGCTGGGCCCCACACCCAGGGTTTCTGATCCAGTTGGTCTGGCCCAAATTATAGTTCTAACAAGTTTCCAGGTAATGACTGATGAGATGGCCCTTCTGGCTCTGAAGGTCTATGATTATAAATTTCTGGCAGCTGGGAATCTACCACTAAGCAAGGAGATACCACCTCACACCTGTCAGAATGGCTAAAATCAACAACACAAGAAACAACAAGTGTTGGTGAAGTTGTAGAGAAAAAGGAACCCTCTTGTTGGTGGGCATGCAAACTGGTGCAGCCACTCTGGAAAACATAGAAGTTCCTCAAAAAAGTTAAAAAGAGAACTACCCTAGATCCAGCAATCACACTACTGGGTATTTACTCCTAAAATACAAAAACAGGACGCCTGGGTGGCTCAGCAGTTGGGTGCCTGCCTCAGCCCAGGGCATGATCCCGGAGATCAAGTCCCACGTCAGGCTCCCTGCGTGGGGCCTGCTTCTCCCTCTGCCTGTGTCTCTGCCTCTCTCTCTCTCTCTCTCATGAATAAATAAAATATTTTAAAAAATATAAAAACACGAATTTAAAGGAATACATGCACACCGGTGGTTATTTGCAATAGCCAAGGTATGAAAGCACAGATGTTTATCAATTGATGAATGGAGGGGATCCCTGGGTGGCTCAGCGGTTTAGCTCCTGCCTTCTGTCCAGGGCATGACCCTGGAGACCTGGGATCGAGTCCCACGTCGGGCTCCCTGCATGGAGCCTGCTTCTCCCTCTGCCTGTGTCTCTGCCTCTCTCTCTGTGTCTCTCATGAATAGATAAATAAAATCTTTAAAAAAAATTGATGAATGGATAAAGCTATAACATGTATCATCTCTATATAATGGGATATTAGCCATAAAGAATGAAATCTTGCCATCTGCAACAATATAGCTAGAACTAGAGAGTATAACGCTAAGTGGAATAAGTCAGAGAAAGACAAATACCATATGATTCATTCATGTGTAGCATTTAAGAAATGAGCAAAGGGGGGGAAAAAGAGACAAACCAAGAACTGATTCTTTTTAGAGAACAAACTGATGGTCACCAGAGGGGAAGGGGGGGTAAATAGGTGATGGGGATTAAGGCATGTACTTATGATGAGTACCCAGTGTAGTATGGAAGTTTTAATCACTATATTGTACACCTGAAACAAATATAACACTGTATGTTAACTAACTGGAATTAAAATTAAAACGTAAAAAACAAAAACAGAAAACCACTCAGCAGAATCTAAGGATCTAAGGATATAGATATGCATCTGCTGCTGCTAAGATAATTTAAGCAAAAAGGAAAACAAAGAAATACATGTATCGTGTGCATATGTATTATCTGAGTGGTGGGACTATAAGGTTTTTTTGGTTTTGCTCATCTTTTTCCTAAAATGAACAGGGATTCTTTTTCTTTTTCTAAAAGATTTACTTATTGAGGCTCCTGGATAGGGCAGTCAGTTGGACATCCAATTCTTAGTTTCAGCTCAGATCCTGATGCCATGGTTGTAAGATTAAGCCCCATGTCAGGCTCAATGTTCAGAGCAGAATCTGCTTAAATTTCACTCTCCCTCACCCTCTCCATCACCACCCCCACACACCCACGGGCGTGCACCCACATGAGCAGAGGAGGGGCAGAGGGAAAAGGAAGAGAGTATCTCAAGCAGACTACCCACTGAGCACAGAGCCTGACTTAGGGTTTGACAATGACCCCGAGATCACGACCTGATCAGACACTCAACTGACTGAGCCACCCAGGCACCTTGAAGATGGATTATTTTTCTAAGAGTTCAGTGAAACTATTATCTCCCAAAATCAGAGCAAATATTTTTATTAATACTGCCCAGGGTAACACATTTTAAGCAATTTTATCATCAGCTTGATTCAAAGTAAGCACTAAACATTCCTAGATTTTTTACATATTAACCCACTAATGACAAGTACAGCTGATTCTTTTAAAAATCAAATTACAGTTTTTTATGTTATACCTTGGCTTTGCCCCCAATTTTAATCCTTGTTATCATCTCTTTTTTTTTAATATTTTATTTATTCATGAGAGACACAGGGAAAGAGGCAGAGACACAGGCAGAGGGAGAACCAGGCTCCATGTAAGGAGCCCGATGCGGGACTTAAACCCCCAAATCCGGGATCACACCCTGGGCCAAAGGCAGGCGCTCAACCACTGAGCCACTTAGGCATCCCTTCATTACCATCCCTTGAAATAAATAATCTTGTTTTACATCATCTACAGATCTGATAAGCAAGATTTTGGGGTACATCATAGCCTTATGTTAAATAAGGCAAAGAAGAGAGCCTGTTGGCTTGTCCTTATATATTTTTTTAAACTTCTCTAGTTTTTTTTAAATATTTTATTTATTTATTCATGAGAAACACAGAAGGCAGAGGCATAGGCAGAGGGAGAAGCAGGCTCCCCACAGGAAACCTGATGCGGGACTCGATCCCAGAATTCCGGGATCATGCCCTGGGCCAAAGGCAGATGCTCAACCGCTGAGCCACCCAGGTGTCCTGGCTTGTCCTTATAAAAGTTGTTCAGACCACTATCAATATATGATAGTTCCCCCCCACCCCTTATCCATGGGAAATACTTTCCAGGACCCCCAGTATATGTCTGAAACCTTGGCTAGTATGGAGCCCTACATGTGCTGTTTTCTCGTATACATACATAACTAGGATAAAATTTACTTCATAAATTAGGCACAGTAAGAATTTAACAAGTAACAATGGAACAATTATACTGCAATAAAGGTTATATGACTGTGGTTTCTCTTAAAATATTTTACTGTACTTACCCTTCTTATGATGATGTGAGATGACGCCTACATTAAGTGCATGAATGAGGAACGCC